TTGTATGGCTTGAAAAAACACACGGTGAGCCACAGGTACCAAACAATTGAATGTCTCATACGCGCGCACACCTCGAGCGGGCTGCGGATTCATTATCCTTACGGTAGATCTTGCAACGCTTGCCGCGTCGAGAAGATGAACCCCGTGCTCTCAGTCACGCTGGCGCAATCCCGCAAACCCCAAACATCACAAATACACGTCAGCCAGACTCAAAACATATATATACACTCCGACCACTTACGTGTACGTATATCATGCACTACTACAGATATGGCGTCGCGCTTACACCTTGCGTCGGCGGGGGCGGATTGCCAGATAACTGGCCGCGCTGAGAGCTGTCGTGTGCCTTCTGTCGTGTGGCGGCTTGGGCAGTGAGGAAACGGAAGATACGGTGGTGGTGGTGGTGGAGGTGGCAAGTGGGGAAAGAGGAGGAGGAGGAGGAGGGAGAGAAGAACGAGGAGGAGGAGGAGGACGCAGGATCCAGGCAGGAGGACTAGCAAGCGGGACGACAGGGACGAGGCCATGATCATGAGAGAGAAGGGAGGGGGCAGAGGGGCATTCCCAGGCAAGCTAAATATATTATCATATCGCCATCCCTTGCGCAGAGAGCCGCGCACAGCTGGCACGAGAGTCAAGTAACGCCCTTCTCCTCCTCAACGTACTCTTGCTCCTCCTCCTCCTCCTGCTCCTCCTCCTCCTCCGCGTCCTCCTCCCCCCCCTCCTCGCTCTAACCGATTAGGGCGGTTGGAACTTGCCTGCTTTGTCAATGCCACGTGCGGGCTTGAGAGAGCAGATCCTTGCCTGGACTCAGCTTCGGTCGTGGAAATAACGGTTCGCCCATATGGTCCCCCAGTGTATCCAATTCACCCGGAGGAGGAGCAGCAGGAGAAGGAGGAGGAGGAGGCGGAGGAGGAGGAGGAGCAGGAGGAGGATAAGGAGGGAGGAGGGAGGAGGGAGGAGAAGGAGGGAGTCTCGCCCTTTTCCTGGGTAGCCGAAGGCCAGACTAACAGATTGCCTTGGGATCCAGGGCCACTCTGGCGTGGCCACGTTGGAGATTTCTACTTGCTCGCCATTCTGTTATCTCGCTGGCCCCCCCCCGCCAGATTGCCAATGTTTGCCCGATATGGGCCGCTAGATTTACGCCAGATTGGCTTCGACTTCGCGTCACCAATTTCTTCTCACAGCGATTCCTGGGTCTGTGACTCGAGAGAACCTAAGCGCGCGCGAAGCGCGCGCGTGGTTCTAGTTCGTATTTAGGATGGACATGTGGTCAGAATCATATGTAATTTACAGCACGCGCGGGGGGGGCGATAAGTCCGGGGGGGGGGGGGGGGGGTAGAATCTATTAGTCTTTTAGAAAGGAGAAAACATAAGAGGAGGAGGAGGAGGAGGAGGAGGAGGAGGAGCAGGAGAAGGAGGAGGAGCAGGAGGAGGAGACAGGAAGGATGATAAGGGAGGGAGGGAGTGAGGGAGGGAGGGGGGAAGCCGGAGGAGGAGGGGGAGGAGGAGGAGGAGGAGGAGGAGGAGGAGGAGGAGGAGGAGGAGGCGGAAGGGAAAGAGGAGGAGGAGAGAGCAGGAGGGTGAGAAGAAGGAGGAGGGGGGAGAAACTGGAGGAGGACAATAAGGATTCATTACCACTGAGGGCACGGCCTCTTTGGGAGAGAACCGCGTGAAAACCCTGTCGCGTGCCAGGGCACCTTTCTTCAACGCCACGGATCAACATGACTGGTGCGTGTTGACGATCTTGAACCACGATCCTGAATCCTGTCAGAACACTATTTCTGTGATGTCAACACCGCGAAACAACTTATCGGTTGCACCCTCAAAACCCTGTGTCCTTCGAAGACAAAATTTCTGGCGCGTTGACCCTGGGGACCGGGGAAACTCTTTGGAGGTTTAACAATGCATGTGCGCGGCACTAAGGCGAGAGCCTCATGTTTAAAACGAGCCGCCCTCAATCTTTGAAGGTCTTACAAGTGTTTGAAGAGACAACGCACGGCGATCAGGCGAGAGACACATTTTCAAACCCACCCACCCTCAACCCGCAAATCTCCTCAAAAGTTTGAAACGAATGTGCGCGGAGCTGGGGCGAGAACCACATTTTGAAAACTTCTGTGTTTCACCGAATGGGCGCAGCGCGCGCATGCGAGAGCCACATTTTGAAAACGAGCCGCCCTCAATCCTTGAAAGTCTTACAAGCGTTTGAAAAGACAACGCACGGCGATCAGGCGAGAGACACATTTTCAAACCCACCCGCCCTAAATCCGCAAATCTTTTCAAACGCTTAAAACAAATGTGCGCGGCGCTGAAGCGAGAACCACATTTTGAAAACAACCCCCCTCAATCCGTGAAACTATTGCAAACGTTGAAGACGAACGGCCTGGCCTCAATCCATTAATCTCTTGCATGGTGTTTCACCGAATGGGCGCAGCGCGCGTAGGCGAGAGCCACATTTTGATAACGGAGGTGGACAAGGAGGAGGAGGAGGAGGAGGAGGGTGAGGAAGAGGAGGAGGAGGAAGAGGAGGAGGAGGAGGAGGAAGAGAAAGAGGGAGGACAAGGAGGAGGAGGAGAGGAGGAGGAGGAGGAGTTGAGGAAGAAGAGGAGGAAGAGGATGAGAAAGAGGAGGAGGACAAGGAGGAGGAGGAGAGGGAGGAGGGGATGGAGGGAGGGAGACGGGAACGCGGATGAGGGAGAAGGAGGAGGAGTGGATGAGGAGGAAAGGACGAGCGGGAGCAGGGGAAGGGGGAAGAGGAGGAGGAGGAGGAGGAGGAGGCTAGGATGAAGATGATGATGATGATGATGATGATGATGATGATGATGATGATGATGATGATGATGATGAGATGAGGAGGAGGAGGAGGAGGAGGAGGAGGAGGAGGAGGAGGAGGAGGAGGAGGGGAGGCGGAGGCGGGAGGAGGAGGAGGAGGAGGAGGAGAGGAGGAGAGGAGGAGGAGGAGGCGGAGGAGAAGGAGGAGGAGGAGGAGGGTGGGGCCAAGGTGACGGCCGAGGGGGACAGAATGCAGGAGCGGCAGGAACACCTCAAGGACGAAGACGGTGTAGTGGAACGCCGCGTCACCAAAAGTACCACAGCGTGATGAGGAAGCAGGCGGGACATGGGTAGAGAGGATGGTAACGAAGGATGCGATCGGACCAATAACAAACATCACGAAGGCATTCCAAGTTGTACCTTTCATCGCACTGGTTTGCCACGTTTCAGCTCAGAGTCGTGTGAGCTTCCTGGAGTGATCCAAGGGGCAATCCAATAGCCTCAGAGGTGGACTTCTGGAGGCCTCTGGTCACCTCCATCGACTTTTGGGCACGCACAGCCCAAACAGTGCTCCGAGGCTTAATATCTTTCTGGCCTGCGAGCCGCAGCCCCTGACCCAGGCCGAGGGGAAAATGAACCTGCGACGATCGCTCCTGGCCGCGTCCGCGTTGCCAGGGCTCCATCTCCCAGCGTCGCCGATGCCGTGGGCAGTGGGTGTCGACAAATCTATGCCCAAGCGTGCCCCTGGCGCCGAACGGCACCCCCGGGTGGACGACCCGTGAGACCAAGAGCAGCACGGGGCACAGGCGGAAACGACACCCGGGACGGAGCAGCGAGGAGCCGGGGGAAGGGAGGAGATCCGGCGGGTGGTAATGGAGGGGGGACTACATGGGGGGTGAAGAAAGGGACCCTAAAGGGAGCCTTTAAGGCCCCTTTTGGTTCCTTTTCTCCGTTGTTGACCACAAACCCGATCCAGGTCGTGCGCGAAGTCCTGGTTCCACTGCCGGGCCAAATTCGGCATTGCCTCAACGCCGGCGCGCCCTCCGACCGCCAGCTGCAAGGGTCCGAGATGAATTTGTAAAGAGTTTATCTCTGTCGCCAACAAGGCCTTTCCGACAACTCTCCGAATGGCCTCGCCTGAGCACGTTGGTCGGGCATCTTCTGTGCCGTCCATCGCGGTCTTCCGTGGTGCCGTGCCCCAGGCTCCGCCCAGAAATAGCCTCAGCTGCCCAGGGGCCCGTTCATCTTCGAGCAGATCGCATACTGCGGCGAGAATCGAACACCCTGGCCTGTCCCCCTTCTCGCCCGCAGCCTGCTTGTATCGGCGGCGAGCCCGGGAGGGAACTGAGAAGGGGCGGGCTTTTTCAGAAGGCTCGAAAATCGCCCAGGTTCCTGAGAAGTTTTCGAAGTCTTCCCCGAAGACGCAGAAAACCTTGCAGAAGGCCGGGGGCTTTCTGAGAACCGCCTTCTGAGAAAGCATCATCCTTCTCACTTCCCCACCGTCGCTCGCTGCCGACCGCAGAAGTCGGGGCGGTGTCTGGAAGCTGTGGGTGGCCACTGCGGCCGCGCTTGTTCCGGTGGTCGCGTGGGCCGGCGGCGCCGGAGGGCGGCGGGAGCGTCGCTGGTGGCCGGGCGCCGGGGGAAATTTCGACCGCATGGTTCAGGAGTGAAGGGATCGACTACACGTAAGAGTGACCTTTCGCCGGAGTGACCTTTGGTGCGGGCACAATGGGGCCCCCCGATCACCGATTGCGATGCGATAGTAGCGTCTTGCGCGCCTGAGTTCGGTCCCCCCGCGGCCCCCCAAGAAGCCGCGCACCAAAGCTCACTCTTATCCGGGGTCATTTTTGCGTGTAGTCGAAGGGAGGACGCTGATTTCGACTGTGCGCAGTGCGCGAACGCTCGTAGCACGAGGCTGGCCTCGCGGATGAGGGGGCCGTATTCATGTACGTGGTTCAGCGCGTACGTCTTCTGTGGGTTGCCTGATGGCTTTCTCCGTCTGCGCCGCGTCGGGTGCAAGGCCTTCGCTCGAGGCGTGTCGCACGGCCTGTCGCCATGGGGAAACGGGTCCTGAGGCAAAGGGGTCCCGTTGTTTTTTCGCTGTTTTCGGGCAGTTTTGGGGCTCTCGGGGCTCTCCACGGGCCGCGGGACTTTCAGATAACGACTCGGGGTGAAGAAGTGATCCGTTTACCTCTGGACCCGTTTCCCCCATGTTCTGCCTTCTTTGGCAGGCCACAGCGAGCCAATGCGATTACATCTTGCTTCTTCACCTCGCGCTGCTGCTCTTCGGGAGCACGCCGAGGCCGTCGGTGAGCACGACTGGTAAGTTGCACCATTGCACCACTTCGTTCCAGAGGGCTCCCCTGCAGCCCACCTCGCGGCCATGCTGGCCACCCGGTTCATTTTGCGTTGTTCCTTCGCCTTTCCTCCGGGCAGTGCGGGGGTGACCGTTTTCTGGAACATCAGCCACTCGGTCCAAGCTCGTTTGACTTGGGCATGCTGGGGCGCGTAATTGGCCGTGCTTTTCACCTTCCAGGCGTCCACCCGAGAGCATGCGAGTACCCTCGATCCACACTGTTCACCTCGCCCTGGGCGATGGAGAAGAGGCCCGCCCCTATGTTCTCTTTTGTCTGGATTGGCGACGCCATCACCTCCTCCAGCGTGGGTAACCCCTCGGATACCTCCATGGCTGCTGGAGGGAGCTCCTGTGGAGCAAACAGCCCGCCCGCAAGGCATATCCTGCGAACGCAATTGTTGCACCTAGTGCTGCACGATCGTCCGCAGATCCTGCACGCTACGAGGCTGTACGTTGCCATCCGCCTGGCTGGTGACTGGCTGGTGGCTGGCTGGGTATCTGCCCCAGCAGGTGGGCGTCGACGTACTTGCGAAGCCCTTGGAATCGACGCCATGGAGCGCGCGTGCTGCCGGCTGCGGCTTGACGCATTACATCTGCCAGCAGACCGGGCGGTGGTTGCACCCCCGCGACGGCCGCAGCCGCGGGTGGCCCAGGCAGCGGGGGCCCTCCCCGGCTTTAGCAGCAGCGACTCCGCATGTCTTCGTTCAGGGACAACCCAGCCAGCACCCCCCCGCTGTAGTACCTCGTCCCCCCGATCCGCGGGGACGGCACGCGACTGCCGTCCTCTGGCACGCTGAAGGGGCGCCTGTCTGGCAGCCTGTCGGAGAAGGCGGGGCCCGCGGCGACTGCGCCAGGCGGCAGGGCTTACTGCCCCTGGTGCTCAGCACACACGTCCCTTCGGGGCTTCGCCTGGCCTTTCTCGCCATGCGCCAAGCAGATGCGGCATCGCATGCCGCAGAGGAGGAGGTGGGGAGGAGGATGAAACAGGGCCCCGCAAGAAGGGGGGCAACGGGCCGGCTTTTCACGATGTTGTATAAGCTCTGTCTTTCTGGCCGCGCGGGGCAGAAGGTGGGCCTCGACTTGCGTAAAGTGTAACTTGCCTTTCGGGCCTCACCGCGCTCACCCCCCTCCCCCCATCCATGCAAGTAAACAGTCAACTTGCCGGGGTCTCACCGGACGGGACTAGGACGACCATAAATCTGTTCCAGAGCGTTCTGGAACGCTCTCAAAGCGTTGGGGAACAGAAGGCGGCGGCGCCTGAGGCATCCTCCAGAGCCGCTGGATCTTAAGATTCTCGATCTAGGCTCGCTCGATTTTATCCTCCTCCTGGCTTAGTCTTATCTAAAGAAAGCAGTCGCCGATGTTGTTCGCAACGTCGAATCTCCGGGGGGCAGCTCTCTCCCTTGGGCCCTCACCAGGCAGAAGGGGGGCTTTCCACACGACGACACTCGGCATGAGAAGAGCCGGCCCAGATGGGGGGAAAAAGCGCCGGGACTTCGGGTGCCGCGTACGGTCGGACCCAGGTATGAGATCCAGGTTGGTTCGGGGAGGGTACCCTGATGTTCTTTGTGTTTGTTGAGTGTGCTTGTGATTCCTGGGGAGGGTACCCTAGGATGTTCTGTGTGTTAGGGTCAGCGGAGGGTCTCTTGCAGAGTGCTCTTCTGGCCCAGGTTCGATTGTATGGGAGGAAGTCAGGACATCGCAGGTCCAGGGCTGGGGCGGCGATTCCGAATCGATTCGGTTCGGTTCGATTCACTGGCCCCTGCCGGGGCCCGTCGCAGCCAGGCGCGGCGATCCGATTTCGACCCGATTCGCGACGATTCCTTGGCGGTCCGATCCGCCTCCGGTCGGGTTCGGCTTCGCGATTCGATCCAGGTCAGGCCTGCCGGCTAAACTTTCGCCAGATGTAAGTGAATTGAAGTGTTGCGTTCGGCGTTTGCAGTGCTGGGGGCCCCAGAGGGGCCCAACCCCTTCCTTCAGTGGCTATCGCGAATTGATGACGCGGGCTTCACTTCCAAGGCTGATTGGGCATGTCAGTGTTCGGGCGGCCCCATCGGCACTCACGCAAGTCCCTCGGAACCCAGCGCTGACCAGACTGCTTTTCCGCTCCCTACTAGGTACACGCGGACGTCCGCAAGGCCCGAAGAGGAAAACGTAGCATTGACCCATGAGTTCTCGGAGATCCGGTCGGACATCTTGGGTCTGCGCTGGGCCCTCCTGACGGCGCCTCCAGCGTCCCCCCTGGCGCGCCCCCCGCGCGTGCATTTAGCGCGCCAGAGAGGGGGGACCCACGCTGATCCATGCAGTCCGCGCGGAATTCCGAGAGTTGTGTTAAGTCGGGCCTGTCCCTCTACAGGGGGAATATTCAAAAATACTCAAAAACAATATGGGGACGATTTTTGTACTATGTGTGAGCATATTCAAATATTTCCCAACCAATCTGTGCTGTTGGGTCCTCGTTTTGAAGGGACGTCGCCCCGCGTTCTCCCCTCCTCTCCTCCTCTCCTCCTCCGCCTCCTCCCTCCTCCCTCCTCCCACCATCATCGTCATCATCATCATCATCATCATCATCATCATCATCATCATCATCATCATCATCATCATCATCATCATCATCATCAGCATCATCATCGTCGTCGTCGTCGTCGTCGTCGTCGTCGTCGTCGTCGTCGTCATCACCGTCACACCCCTCACACGTTTCGCGGCCCCATAAGGGGGCTCCACCGAAGGTCCCAGTGGGTGTGCCCGCATGCGTCCCGTACACCCATTTCGGCACACCCCTCGCACGTTTCGTGGCCCCATAGAGAGCTCCATCCCAGTGGGTGTGCCCGCATGCTCCACACCCATTTCGGCACAGGTCCCCAGTGGGTCCCAGTGCCCGCATGCGTCCCGCACACCCATTTCGGCACACCCCTCGCACGTTTCGTGGCCCCATAGGGAGCTCCACCGAAGGTCCCAGTGGGTGTGCCCGCATGCGTCCCGCACACCCATTCGGCACACCCCTCACACGTTTCGTGGCCCATAGGGAGCTCCACCGAAGGCCCCAGTGCCCGCGGCCGCATGCGTCCCGCACACCCATTTCGGCACACCCCTCACACGTTTCGTGGCTCCATAGGGAGCTCCACCGAAGGCCCCAGTGCCCGCGCCCACATGCGTCACCCACACCCATTTCGGCACACCCCTCACACGTTTCGTGGACCCATAGGGAGCTCCACCGAAGGACGCTCCACCGAGGTCCCAGTGGGTGTTGCCGCATGCGTCCCCACACCCATTTCGGCACATCCCTCACACGTTTCGTGGCCCCATAGGGAGCTCCACCGAAGGTCCCAGTGGGTGTGCCCGCATGCGTCCCGCACACCCATTTCGGCACACCCCTCACACGTTTCGTGGACCCATAGGGAGCTCCACCGAAGGCCCCATGGCTGCCGTCCGCATGCGTCCCGCACACCCATTTCGGCACACCCCTCACACGTTTCGTGGCCCCATAGGGAGCTCCACCGAAGGCTTCCGTGGCTGCGTTCGCATGGCGGCATCGCACACATTTCGGCACACCCCTCACACGTTTCGTGCGTGTCGTGGCCCCAGTGAGAGCTCCACCGAAGGTCCAAGTGGGTGTGCCCGCATGCGTCCCGCACACCCATTTCGGCACCCCTCGCACGTTTCGTGGCCCCATAGGGAGCGAAGGCCCAGTGGGTGTGCCCGTTGCGTCCGCACACCCATTTCGGCACACCCTCGCACGTTTCGTGGCCCCATAGGAGCTCCACCGAAGGTCCCAGTGGGTGTGCCCGCATGCGTCCCGCACACCCATTTCGGCACACCCCTCGCACGTTTCGTGGCCCCATAGGGAGCTCCACCGAAGGTCCCAGTGGGTGTGCCCGCATGCGTCCCGCACACCCATTTCGGCACACCCTTCACACGCTTCGCGGCCCCATAGGGAGCTCCACCGAAGGTCCCAGTGGGCCGCTCCTTCTACGATCCTTGTGAGGGGCGTGCCGGCATGGGCGTCGCGGCGCGCGGGCGCTGCCGCCGGGATTCCGGGAGGAGCTCCCTGCGGCGGCCAGATTCAGTGTCGCGAGTCCTCAGAGTCGGGCATGCCCGAACCATGCACATTCATATACATTTACACGAGGCGTGGCCCTGCTCATATTCATGCAAATATATTCACTCGCACGCAGACTCATTCATACCCAGACTCACTCGCTCTCAGACGTACCCGCGCTCAGTCTCTCGTAATTCGACAAATCGTCTTCGTTCGTTTTGTGTACCCCGCCACATCTTTCGACACGCCCCTCATGCGGTTCGTGGCTCCATAGGGAGCGCTACCGAAGAAGATACTTACAATCGCGGTACTCACAATTGCGGTCCAGGCTAATTTTTTACTATTTGAAATTAGTCGTCCAGAATCCCCCTGCAGTGGGACAGGCCCGACCTAAGAGTTGGCGCGTGACGATCCCAGTCCGACAACGCCATGATTTTTGCTCACAGGGTTGACCCCTGGAGGTCCCGACCCATTCCTACGGAACGGCCTTTCATCACGATCATAGTTTCTTGGTGGTCCAGGGGCTCAGCGAGGGTTCCCAGGGGCCAGAAATATCATAACACCGTCCGTCATGACCTCTGCCAAGCCGCAAGGGGGTCTGCGATTTCTCAGGGGGGAAGGAAGAGAGGGAGGAGGAGGAGGAGGAGGAGGAGGAGGAGGAGGAGGAGGAGGAGGAGGAGGAGGAGGAGGAGGAGGAGGAGGAGGAGACCCCCCCCCCTCCAACTTATGGTGGTGGTGGTTGAAAACACGGCTACCATATCTCGATTTCTGGAGGCGCACGGCAGCCGCGCGGCGAGCCCGTCTGCCCGCTCGGCCGCGCTCGCCGAGCTGCTCGCGGAGGTGCGGCGCCTCGGTCCGCGGCTGGACGACGTGCAGGCGGAGGTGCGCCGGGCCCGGGGGCAGGCTCTCCGGGCCTCCCAATTGGGGCCAGAGCGGGCGAGCGACGCAACAGAGAAGAAACGGTGTCGACTGCGTCGACATTCGCGCGCAGGCTGCCCGCGTCGGGTCGCGAAGGAGCGCCCTCGTTTCCAATGTGGCGTGCCGCGCTGGCGGCCCGCGTGAGCCACCGCGTAAGGTCGCCGATTACGTCATCTTGCGTGAGTCCAGTTGTGTTGTTCGTCGCTTAGTGGTGGGGTCGCTGGGTCGCGGCGCATCGCCGATGCATCGGCGATGCGGCTCAATTTGGAGCCCGATGTTCTCCACGCCGATGTTGCCGATGCACCCCCGATGCGTTGCCGATGCGTCGCCGATGCGGCGCGATTCTCCGACCCCGTCTGCTGGGCCCGATCAAGGAGGCCTCTACAGGCGGACGTCTCCCGCGTGCTCTCGCAGATGGAGGACCCACCGCCATAGTAGATTTATCCAGATGCCTGCGGCAAACCCCGCCACCGTGCCTGTGCAAGAGCGCTGCAGAAAGGAGACTGATTGTAGGCACAGCGCAATTCCGACAAGTGGTCTGATACATACGAACGGGTCGTAAACTCGACCTCGTCTTCGTCCGTGCAGTAAGACGGAGGTCGAGTTCACACGCCTCGGCAGTTCAGCGAGTGGCCTGAACTGGGACCGGTCGTGATCCCGACATCGTCTTCGTCCGCGCGGTAGGAGGAGGAGGAGGAGGAGGAGGAGGAGGACGAGGAGGAGGACGAGGAGGACGAGGAGGACGAGGCGGACGAGGCGGACGAGGCGAGGGAGGAGGAGGAGGAGGAGGAGGAGGAGGAGGAGGGAGGAGGAGGAGGAGGAGGAGAGGAGGAGGACAGGAGAGGACAGGGAGGACCCTGAGGACGAGGAGGATGAGGGGGACGAGGACGAGGCGAGGGAGGAGGAGGAGGAGGAGGAGGAGGAGGAGGAGGACGACGAGGAGGACGAGGACGAGGCGTGGGAGGAGGAGGATGAGGAGGAGGAGGACGAGGAGGAGGAGGAGAAGGAGGTGGAGGAGAGGAGGAACAGGAGGAGGACAGGGAGGACCCTTTGGACGAGGAGGATGAGGGGGAGGAAAGAACTCGAGGAGGAGGAGAAGGGGAGGGAGAAAACGAGGACGAGGAGGAGAAAGCTTCTTGGGACCCTCTTGGGGCCTCCCGAGGGCCGCCTGGGAGCCGCCTGAGGGCCTTCTTGGGGGCCTCTTGGGAGGCTCCTGGGGCCTCTTAGGTCTCTTTGGCCCCTTGGGCCGTTTTGGGGAGGCGATCGACCCGTCGGACGCATTCGCAGGGCGTCTTGGGGTCCTGTGTGGCCGACTCGGAGCTTCCTTGGGGGCCTCATGGACTGCCTTGGAGCTAGAACCCAAATAGGCGAGAACACCAAAGTCTTGCAACAACCTCAGGAACACACAATGTGTTTGCTCCCCCAGGCTCTCCTAGAGTGCCTCTCGAAGCTTTCTTACCCCGTCTTGGGGGCCTCTTCAGCCGTCGTGTAGCCATCTTGGGAGCCTCTTGAGCCGTCTTCTGCCATCTCGGTGTCATCTTAGCTGTCTTGGAAGTCGTCTGATACGCCATCGTCTCGAGGCCGAAAAGACCGCCAGAGGACAATTTCAGGGGGAGGGGTCTCAAGACCCCGCGTGCGAGGAGGGGGGCGGCCCTAGAAAATATAAACAAAAACCCTCACAGACAGCGATGAGCATGCTAACACGTCCGCTCAGTGCCGGCATGGTGGCGGATCCATGCAGTTCAGCCTCTGAGAAAGGACAGTTGCATAAACATAAACTTCCGGAGGTCCTCGCGGATGTCATGCATCGGCGCCCAGGTCCCACGGGCGGAGCTTCCGGCGCCGACCATGGCACCCTCCGCAGCGCCAGTGATGGGGTTCCAGCCTAGCGCCGATCCAAGAGGTCCGCGCGGCCCTCCGAAAGTTGATGTATATGCTGTTTTCTGTTCCTCCACAATACATGTGCCCATGCGTTTGAGACGCTGGAGTTTGAGCCACTGGCATGTTCATGCGTCCTTGGAGGGTTTCCCGCTTCGGGATGCGTGCCAGCAGCTGCGCCTCGCCGAGGGCAGTGTAGAGGTGCCCAGATCGTCCTGAACGACCGCCGGAAGATCAAGTTTTGGCCCGAATACCGACCCGTCCGTCCCGCGGAACAAGGGAACAAGGGTGTTCGCGGTTCGGTCGGTTCGGTTGCGTCGCTTTCGGATGCGTTGCAGTCAAGGCCGTCCTGGTACTCTCTGGCTGCTCCTTCGGTCTAATTTCGTCGAGGATCCAACTCGTTGCCGAGGCTCGCCGTGGCCAGAACGGCCCCGTTGTGTCTTATCCAGTTGTCTATGTGTGGTATCAAGGGATGAGAAAACACCCCGACCGCCACAATCGGCGCTTACTAAACAGCGCTGGTCGTTTGCACCACAGCCCTGCCCTGTTCGATCAGTTCACTGCGCTGTCGTGGATGGGACGTGCATTGACACCTGTAACTGGACCCATTGGCAAGCTGTTCGACATACCTAAGGGTATAATACATGAGCTTGATCCTGAATTTCGGACCAGGGCCTCTTGCAGCAGTCGGAATGCAGAGTATTAACGCGTCCATTATATTGGCGCTACGCGAGCAGAGTACACAAAGGTTCTGCAGTTGCATCTAGAGTCACACCTGAATTCTGGATCCCGTGATGCATGCAAGCGATATTCACCCAATTCTGAACACTAGCTTGTGGTACATCTGAGATTTGGCGACCTTTTGGAACAACCATCACAATACATTCGCTATACCGCCATGCTCTTCTCTTGATGCCCTGATCAACAGAGAGCATGGACGTGGGCGAGCCCGTCTTGTCTCAAAGCCAGACCATCGCCATCCTTGATTACCAAAAGCTTCGCTCGTCGGGGTGCGAATCATGAGGGAGGTGTCTCTGCCCTCTATGGTAGCACGTCGGTTATGTCCCTGGCGGCGCGCACGAGAGGCTGGCGGGAGGGGTGGGCGTCCTCCTCAGGAGGTGGGCAGGCGGCCAATCGGGGAGCACGCGATGACATCAACAGAAAAACTCGGAGATCCGCGAGGATTCCTCGTATCGGCGCCGGAGCCCCCTGGCAACGCCTCCCGAGGGTCCAGCGCCGATCCGAGAGATCCACGTGGATCGCTGCGAGTTGGTCATGTTTGTGCCACTGATTTGCTCCCCCGGCCAACGGAGGCCTCCGAGAACCCCCCTGGCCCCCCCCCCGCCCTCCTCTGGGAAGGCCAGCCCCCCTCGCGCCCCCCCACCTGTTGCGCACCACCAGTGTTCGACTGTTCCTCCTCTTCCTCCTGCTCCTCCTCCTGCTCCTCTTCCTCCTCCTCCTCTTCCTCCTCCTCCTCCGCCTCCTCCTCCTCCTCTTCTCCCTCCTCCCCCTCCCTCCTCCTCCGCCCTCCCTCCCTCCTCCCTCCCTGTGCGCACCACCAGTGAAGGACATGTTTTCCACCACCACCACCACCACCATAAGTTGGAGGGGGAGGGGGTCTTCCTCCTCCTCCTCCTCCTCCTCCTCCTCCTCCTCCTCTTCTTGATCCTCCTCCTCCGCGTCCTCCTCCTTCCCCCTCCAACTTATGGTGGTGGTGGTGGAAAACACGCCCATCAACCAGTGTTCGTCCCTTCGGAGCAGTGCGCCACGCTGCTCGCTCCTGAGGGCGGGAAAGCCTCCCACGTCCACCGCTGACCCCACTTGGCCTGCGGGAGGACCCCAGGAGCTGCGGCCATTCGGGGGCGTTCAAGTAGCCCTCGAACCTATAGTGTGAGGCGTTCCAGAAAGGGCCTCGCCTGCAAGGATCGAAGGAGTTGCCGTCTCTTCATCGGCGGCAGGGCGGTGGGAGGGCGGCAGAAGCCGGCGGGGGCAACATGAGGGCGGCTCGGCCAGCGGAAGGCCGACGGAAACGGGGGAAGTAAGAGGTACCCCCACCGAGAGATGATAACATGTTGGGGTTCGGCGTTTCCGGAACCAGCGATATGCGATGAAGATCAATCTTCTGATCCCGGGGCCAGAACTCCGCCGGGGTTAGGGACAGATGCGGGGTGTCGGATAGGGCCCCCCGCTCGAACAGGAGCCATCTTGGGTTCCGACAGTCCGCGCCTAAACCTACAGCGCCTTCATCGCCTTGCCTCTCCCCCGCCCTCCTCCCTATAGGTTTGATTGTGCGTGTGCATTACAAGGGCCTGCCCGCCTGTTCTGCGGCGTGCTTAGGCTTCGAATTGCCGGGCATGCGTGGTAACTCACCGAGCTTGCGTTTTGAATCCTGTTCTTCCGTCTCCTCCTCCTCCTCCTCCTCCTCCTCCTCCTCTTCCTCCTCCTCCTCCTCCTCCTCCTCTTATTCCTCCTAGTCATCTTGCTCCCTTCTTTCTTGGTGGATTCATGGTGTTTGGCTAGTTGGGCCACGGGGGGTGTATCAATCTACTCATCCGTCCACCTTCCCTGACCCCGTCGACGCGGATCGGCTCTCCTATTACATGTTGGTTGGCGCATTGTCTTCAGGCTCATCCTCGTACTCCACACCGTCTACGTGACATAGTGAACAGGGTTTTTAGGTTTGAGGCACGTCCGCAACTGGCCTCGGAGTCGAAATTGTGCACCGCTTCGAACGAGCGTGGAGGCACGCCCGCATACGGCCTCGGAGTCGAATTTGTGCAGCGCTTCTGCTGAAATCATGTTGTCCGCTCCTTCCCTCCTCTCCCCTCCCTCCTCTCCCCCCTCGGCGCTGTGAGCAGGAAGTATCGTTGGACGTTCGCGCTTCGGGGAATACCCACATGCATGCAGAAGAGCTGCATTGTCGAGTTTTTGTCCAGGCCACGGTTCATTGCATGAGCTTGCCGATTGCAGGTCGGTTTGTGCGGTGTTGCCGGTTTGCCGAAACGACTTTTTGATTCGCGATGTGGGTGTGCCACCCTTTGTGCTTCCAATTCCGGAGTGCGAGCGGGAAAAGAGCCACATGTTGTTGGAGGATGTTCCCCGAGCAGTGGCAGAACATGTCCGCGGCCACCGAGTCCGAGACAAGTGTTGGTGATCCTGTTGTCCAAGATGTAGGGGGCAGGATCTGTCCGCTTGATTTGGGTGTACGGGCCTATCCTCAATGTCAGGCCCATCCCCAGTTTCGCCGGCAGGCAGCGCACGCGTTCCTCAGGGTGTGCGCCTTCTAGTCTCATTGTCTGATAGCTGCCCGCATTGCCGCCCCTATGCTCCCGCGTGTCTCAGACAATTTCACGTACGCACCGCTTGAGGAGGCTGTTGTCGTTGGGGTGCCCGATCTCTCCTCCCAACCAACGGTCCCAAACAAAAAGTATGCTTGATTGTGCGTGCGCAGATCCTTCATGAGAGATTGTCAGACTTTTGGTTCAAGGCCCACTTCGGTCCCGAGGGGACCTCGGTGTGCCTTGGGTCCTGTGCGATCCTTCATCTGGCGATCCTCGCGCCTCCGGGATCCTCGCTCATGGCCAACAGCGGCTGCGCCGCTCCTTTCCCCAAACATTCTCCGACGCGGGGCCCGGTGTTCTGCCCCCAGGCCTGGCCGGGGACCTGGCAGCTGCCCCAGAGGGGCCGAGGTTGGAGAACAACGCCTGGACCGAAAAGAAAATGCCTTCGGAGGCCTGGGCCACCCTGAGGAAACATCCCGACGGCACGGAGGCTTCTGGCGCGTCTCGGAGGAGGTCCCAGGAGCAGTTCTTTCTAGGAGGAGGAGGAGGAGGAGGAGGAGGAGGAGGAGGAGGAGGAGGAGGAGGAGCCTGGGGCCCAGCGAGGGCCCCCTGACGCCGAGCAAGAGGAGCAGCTTCCGCCCAGATGTTTGTCACCACGTTTAGAGGTCTGGGGCCTGAGCGGGGCACCCCGTGGCAGCGCTCTGACTCGGCGGCGGAATCCGAACCCTATCCTCGCCGATCCACGATTCGGGCAACTCCATGGGCGGCGGGGCAAGAAGGTTCAAGCACGTGGCAAATTCCGAACCCTCTCCCCGGCCACTCCATCGATTCAGGAGAATCGGTGGTTGGCGCGGGTAGGGTTCAGATGTCACCACGTGTTTGGCGGCACGGATCTCCCTTGGTGGTGGCTCCGAGGAGGTCCGGTCCGAGCTCGGCAACTCCCAGGCCCGGAGCTCCAGGGACCATGCCGAGGGTCTCGCGGGGCTCCGCGAGGCGGTGGGCGAGCTCGTGGGTCTGCAGGCGTCTGGGGCACAATTAGGAGGGGGGATCGGGCCAGAGGGAGATGAAGCTTGACACCCAGAGACCCGAGGCTCCGAACTGAATCGGAGCGGCCGGCTTTCACCTATTATCGCTTTCCGGGGGCGCTGAACGGGCCCCAGGACCGTCAACAAAACGATCTGGGACGAAACAACTTCCTCAGGGAAGTGGTCCAGTCCAGACGGTCCGGTCCAGACGGTCCAGTCCAGACGGTCCATTGAAAAAATTGGAGCGACAGATATATGGGGGGAGAGTGCTTTTCACCCTCTGAGCCATAGCGTGCAATTTGCCCTGCCCATCCTCCTCCCTCCCTTGTCGTCCCCACTACATAATTCTCCTTCCCCCCACAAGAAGTCCCCAGCACCGCCGCAGTGCGCCCAGCACCACAGTCTGGTGCCGAAACCACACGGCAGGGGGGGGGGGGCGTCCCCTCCACCCCTCCCAGAAAGCCCGTTATCGCCGCGAATTAAACAAATGTTGGCATGAAGCTCCAGGTTCGAGGTTTTCGGAAGTTTTCATCAGTTCTCGGCTGCTGTCCATCCTCGGGGTCCATCCTCGGGGTGCCCACCAGCAGCTACGGCTCTCCGAGGGCGTTTTTGCGGTGCCTGGATCGTTTCGACGGGCCGCCAGAGAGTCAAGTTGAGCCGAGAGCCAGGGGTCAACGTTGCAGGGGGGTAGACTCAGTCGCCAGGGGGATGCACTGATCCCCAGTCGCCCATTGACTGCCGACAAGGGCCCGATAGCCCACACCGCCCAGGACCGGATTCGGGATCGGGGGCCTGCAGTCAAGACATTGTAGTAAGAGACAGTTCGGGTTCGGAAGGGTCTTGGGTCCTTCCATGGCAGTTTCTCCAGCCTTCCTCGTCTGCGCAGGCGATTTGGGGCCAAAACGGTTTTTCGTTCCTGACTGAACGTTCCTTTTTTCAGCAGCCCAACTGAGTCGCCGACCTGTCTGTGTGTCGATGTGCCCCCCCCGTCTGTTGTTGCCCCACCAGGCGGCGGCCCGGCAGGAGCGGCGGGAAGCGATCCGCCGGGCTTGCGCCGCACCCGTCGGCTCCACGGCCCCCATCGCGCCATGGCGCTGAGAAGGGAGAGGTATACTTCCGGAGTCTCGCGCGGATTTCTTGGATCGGCGTTGGGGCCCCTCTGGGGGCGCCTCCGGCGCCGCCCCTGGCGCGTTCCTCGCGCCAGGGAGAGGGGTCCAGCTCGGATCCAAGACATCCGCGCGGACTTCCGAAAGTTTATGCTTAGGTAGTTTGTTGTTCCTCTAGGTATTGTTTCAAACCGTGGCGAGGCGTCCCGACTCGCCTAGAGGCCCACCAGAGCATGCCCTCTTAACTCTGTGTTGTTTGCACGAGCTGTTCCTAGAGTATCTCTGGTCCAGAACGTCTTGCTCTCATTCAAGGTATGACGTTGTCAGAACATGGCTGCGTTCCTGAAACATTTCTGCTGCTCTAAGAGGAGTTTGTGGTAGGCCTACAGGGGTGCCGGGATGGTCGTCCGCGCCCTCCCACGGCTGGATGCTCTTCGAACGTCCCGCCACACCGCACCCCCGTGGAGATCCCGGGTGCAGCTGAGCAGCGTTCTCGGCAACTGCTTGTTACACCAAGGTGACGACCACGACAAGAGGACGTTTTCAGCGACTGTTGGCCTCTGCCGCACCCTTGTAGAACAAACTTGACGAAAGTGGCCATTGGTTTCCCGGAGCACTCCGGGGTCGCATCGGTGTCTTCATGGGACTGCCTGGGCATTGTGCCATCTTCTCGCAACGGCGCGCCCCCCACCCCTCTCCCCCGCCCAGCGTTGAATGGAGACCCTCGGTGCGGCAGCGTCACTGTCAAGAGCTACGTTTGGATGAGGGAGCGGGAGGCTGCTGAAACGATTCGTCAAGCCTTTCTTCAGGAGATTTGCGTCGAAGAAGAAAAAACATCATCAACATAAACTGTCGGAGTTTCGCGCCGATCTTGTTGATCGGCGCTGGAACCCACTCCTTGGCGCGCGGAGCGCGCCAGGGGCGGCTCCGGAGGCGCCGCCAGGGGGGCTCCAGTGCCGATCCGAGGAATCCACGCGGAGCTCCGAAAGTTCATGCTCATGCAGTGTTTTGACCCTGCATGTGTTGGGCCCGTTCCAAGCCTCGGGACAATAAAGCAGCGGCCCAGAGAAGGAGGGGAGATGTAGGCGGATGAGAGAGAGGGGAAGCAAAGAAGGAGCGAACGTGAGAGACAGAGAAAGAGAGAAAGAGAGAGAAACTTGAGAAGAGAAGAGAAGAGAACATGGAAGGGCGAGGACATGGCGCCGCAGTGATTATCCGTAAGGGCTTCGCCCCCTGCCGCCGGCCCCCTCTCCTCGGATAATGGGCAATGCACGAGCGAAATCATGAGGCCTTGGCGTCGCCGTGAAGCAGCGTCGGGACTTCACGCGAAGACGATGAGTAATCGGCAAGACAAATTGAGATTCTGATGATATTGTTGAATGCGGTAATGTATTTCGAAGGTTTATGGCTTCGGATACGCCGTTATTGTGTAAACAAAAGGTGTATGGCTTCGGGGTCGCAGATATTGCGTCATGTACGCAGGTGTATGGCTTCGGAGACGCGAATATCGTGTTCTTTACGAGGGCTTATGTGTTCGCACGCGCGATGATTGTGTAATTTACGAGTCGCAACTATTGCGTCATTTACGCAGGCTTATGGCTTCGGAGACGCGAATCTTGTGTAAGTTACGCGGTTGTATGGCTTCGGGGACGCGAATATTTTGATTTACTAGGGTTTGTGGCCTCGGGACGCAAGCATTGCGTAATTTACGGGGGGTATGGCGTCGAGGATACGAATACAGCGTATTTAACAAAGGTTTATGGCTTCGGGAACGCGAATACTGTGTGATTCACGAGGGTCTATGGCCTCGGGGACGCGAATATTGTATAATATACGAGGGTGTATGGCCTCTGGGGCGCGAATTTCATGTATTTGTATGTGTCCCACGCCCCCCCCCCCCCCCCCCCTCAGGAATTGAGGCAACGCGATTCGGGCGTGGTAACTAGGTTCATTCTCGGCTCCCCCCCCTCGCGCGGTCCATCAACAAGGAACAGTAAGCAGCAAGAAGCAGAATTGTAACAGTGGAAACTGGAAATTGGAACTGGCGCAGGGAACAGCAAACCTTGTGCCTACAGCCTGGTGGCCCCACAAGGGGGCTGGCGGATTTTAGCTGTGTTGAGGCTTTCGGACCATCTTGGAAATTTTCGGGGGTGTACGGTGAGCACAGGCAGGACTTCCCATGCGCATCTTGGAGCCTCTTCCGTACTCTCCTTCGGGCCTTGGCAGTTTCTTGGGAAGCCTTGGCGACGCCCTGAAGCTTTCTGACAGCGTGTTGGACGCCCGGAGTTACTTTGGCACGCCCTGGCTCGGGTCAGAAGCACTGGGGGGGTCAGGCAAAGGGGGTGATGGGCTTGTTTTCCACCACCACCATAGGATGGGGTCCTCTTCTTCCTCCTCCTCCTCCTCCTCCTCCTCTTCCTCTTCGTCCTTCTCCTCCTCGTCCTCCTCCTCCCCCCCTCCAACTTATGGTGGTGGTGGTGGTGGAAAACACGCCCATCAGGGGGGGGCTCGAAGTCTGCTGCATGCAGTGGGTTTCGGCCCCGCCGCTGGGCTCTCGGAGCCTCCTGGAGCGCTCTGGAACGACAGCGGCGCCCGACACATCCTCAAGAGCCGCCCGATTTTCGAGATCCCCGATCTTCGAGCAGGGGATCGACTACAGAATTGATATACCCCAGAATTGGTTTGTTCGTCGAATCAATGGAAAAGACATACTAATCCGCACATCTACGAGCATTCTACGTATTGTTCGTAAGTTCGACGAGAAGCTCAAGTCAGGGGTAAATCAATTCTGCAGTCGATCCTCTACTCGAGATCTATCCCGGTCCGATGCTGTCCCTGTCCTGGCCTCGTCGCAGGCCCTGCGGTGGAGGGGCCCCCGGGGGGGCCCGCAGTGTCTCCGGGCGCCGCGGCCGCCCGGGCGGCGGGCGGATCTCTCGCGAGGACGTGGCGCTGCTCTCGGAGGGCATGGCGGCCCTTCTGGCCGCGCTGGCAGAGGCCGGGGAGGCAGGGCCCCGCTCGGTCGGATCCGTTCGACCTCGACTTTGGCTCGCTCCATTCTGCTCGATTCCCGAGTCCGACCATCCGATGCGGCCCGATGCTTGCGCATGGCGATGTTGTGCACCCTGGCGCGGCCGATGCGATGTGACTTCGGCGCCGTGCCGCTACGGCCCGATCCGACGCAGGCTTCGATCCGATCCGGGTTTTTGATCCGAAGTGGACTGATGGTTGAGAGGCCATGAGGGGCGTGGTGGCGGCTGGCAGGAACCAGCAGGAGGACCGCGCCGCAGACGCCAAGGACCGCCATGAAGAGGGGCCCCCGATGTTCCTCAGCGTTTGCGGCCCCCCAGGGCCCCTCGCGTCGTGTGGAAATCAGACCGCAGCGGGTGTTCGGCCATGTCTGTGCCCCCCCTCTGCTACGCTGTTTCCTCGGGGAGCCTCTCCCTGCGCTCGGAAGAGGAAACGGTACCCATACCTCTACCCTTCGCCCGTTTTCCCCCTTGGGGGGCCTCCTGGGGGGACCTCGTCATCATCGCTGGATTCGCCTCGAAATCCTGGTCATAACGCACCCCGGGAGAGGTCCAGGGAGTAGCGGTATCGGCACATGTTGGTTCCTTTATGCGCGCCGCGAGGAGGAGGCCTCCGTGATGGAAGCCTCGCTGCTAAGCGCGCTGCGCCTCGACGGGGCCCTGCTTCGCCGGGAGCTCGCGGCGGAGTGCAGCGAAGTCCTGGACGCGTCTCTGGACGGCGAGGGCGCCGCGGCCCCGCCAGGGCCGCCTCGAGCAGCCCTGGCGCCAGCGCAAGCCGGGGACTGCTGAGAGGACGGCGTGCCCTCGGATCCGGGCGCTGCCACTTTTACACGCAGGGCGTTTCCGCTTGGGTCTCGAGGAAGACCCGGGTGTTGTCTGTCAGATGGTATTCGGAAGTGCTTCGCATCAACCGGGGTCCACGGACCCTGGTACCAGGGTCCGTGCTTCCCGATCTCCTGCGAGACTTTACGTAAAGTTTCGCAGGAGATCGGGAAGCATTTGAGTCTGATTCCGTGCAGAAGAGCGTCATGTGAGGGCTGCTGCCCTCGCGCCTTGCCTCGTGCGGGTCGGTCTCCTTGGCCGGACACGCGGCGCCTCGCCTCGCCTCGCGTTTTCGCCGGATTTCAGGCCCAAAGCCCCTCACAGATCGACCCGGCTCGAAAAATGAGGCAGACAGACGGGGCCGAGGGCTCCTGGTATGATTGGTCTCGATGTTGCATTCTTGTTTGCAACGTCGGACCTCAGGGTGCGGACACGAAGAACAACAAATTGCGCAGACATAATTTCTCTGAAGTTCCCGCGGATTTCTATGATTTGTCGGATCAGCGTTGGGCCCCTTAGGCAGCGCCTCTGGCGCCGCCCCAGAAGCGCTCCGCACGCTCTGGGGGGGGGGGGGGAGCGCCGGTCCATTTGCGCGGACCTTCGAGACTTTGTGTTTACGTGTTTTCTGGCTCCTCTGAAGACGGCGGGCGCCCGCAAGTCCCGCGCCTGTGCGCCCGGGGGTGTCCAGCTGCGTTACCGAACATCGGCTTTGCTCGGCTGCACGTCAGAATGGCCCCTCGCCGCAGTAGCCTTTCGTGCGGGCCCACTGGGGGCATCCGATCGTTGAATGCGATGCTGTAACATCGGCTTGCGCGCCTGGGTTGGGCCCTCCACCGCGCCCCCTGAAGCTGCGCACCAGCGGCCACGCTTGCCGAGTGTCATTTTTGCAAGTCGCCGACTGGCTCACTGCAGGCTTTGGGCGTCGCTCGGACGCGTGGGTTTCGTGTCTGTCTGTGTGCATGTTTGTTTTTGCACGACTGTTGCTGGGAGCCTGAGGCTACCATCGCCTCACATGGCGCGCTTCACAAAGGTCCTTGCGCCCGAGGTTCGAAGGAGTCGGCATCTCTTCCTCGGCGGAAGGCGGCGGAAGGTCAGCGGAAGCTGGGGGAAGCAAAGCGAGGCCGCCTCCGCCGGCGGAAGCCGGCAGAAGCTCGGCAGAGATGACAGTTTTGTTGGATTCAGGGTTCGCGTCGTGTCGACCGGCAGCGTCCCCTCCGCCAGCGTTCAACGTTGAACGCCGTCGGCGACGCAGAATCAGTAGATGTTGAACGGTCGGACGTTTCGGAAAAGGCCGATCGTTCAAGCCTGAAAGATCTCCGCGGTGTCAGGAACCAACGCTGGGGTCGGCACGACACGGACCTGCCGTACATCATCTGATCGAGTTTTTTTCTCCCGTGCCCCCTCCGCGGTCGCTTCTCCAGCTTCGCGCGGCCCGCCTTACAGCCTCAACCGCGCTCGCATCTCCTGGCGCTGCGGCCAGAGCGGTTGTTCTGCGAGCGTTTCTTCACCGATCCGATGACCTCACTTGTGGGGGAGACGTAAGACTCAAGTGCGCCAGGACTCGGCCGGCGCGCCACACATCTTGACGGTCCGGCTCCCGTGGGGTGTTTGCAGCGGGAGGTCGCGTGAAATTGTAGGTCGTGTCTCGTCATGTTCCTGACGGCCCCGTCAGGCCAACCCGAGTCCCCCGACCCTGAGTCCCTACGTCTTCCCGAATTGGAACCAATGCAGGCTGCTTCATGGCGCTGCGAGGGATTCGACTGCCTCTGCCGACCCACGCGACAGCAACACCAATCGTTTTAGGACTGCTCGGTCTTATCTGCTCGCGTGTCATGCAAAACGTATATCTCAAACCCTCGATACCCGCACTATTCGTCTTCGATCGTACCCCCCTTGGGGGCAGGGTAGATCTTCACGACCTGCCACGTGCAGTTGGAGCAGCTCCTAAAACTGGGAAGGAAGTGAGGAGGGAAGAGACAAGAGGGAGGGAGAAGGATGGAGCACGAGAGAGATTTGCAGGAGGAGGGTTCGGAGCAGCGAGCAGCATAACCAGACGGGCGGGGGCGGGCGGGCCTGGACGGCCAGGTCGAGCGGGCGGGCCGTTTAAGCGTCAATCCATCATGAAAGAAGTTTCGAGCGATAGCGCGATCCCCAAGTAAATCGTTAGGGAATCCATCGTTCGAGTGTGATTGCTGAGTCTTGGAGGCACGGCGCCGCAGTGCATTGTGAGGAAGTACTACGCGAAAGCGAGATCCCTGTAACTGCTGACGAAGTCCCACGCGAGAGCGCGAGTGTGAAATACCATCTGAGGAAGTATCAGGCGGGAACCGTTATTGATGTAACCCGGTGGCCAGGGGGACAGTTTGAGGACCACGATTTTCCTTGATTGAGCAGCAGGGTGCGAGCCCCATCAGGAGCATTTTCATTCAAAAATCAACGTGCACCGGGCAGGGGGGTCAACAATACTTATTTTCATACGTAAAATTCCCCCCAAAATAACAACATCCTTTTTAGACTGTTCGCCATTACCCGCTCGCGCATGCCCCAAAGCCTCGATACCCGCTCACTTCGTCTTCAACTTTTCTGGGTATAGTGTATCCTCCCTACCTGCCGCGTGTACTTGGCGGCGCAGCCCTAAAACAGGGAAAAAGAGGGCGTGTGGAAGGACGGGACAAGGGGGAGGGAGAAGGATGGAGCACGATAGATATAAGCAGGAGGAATTCAAATGGGTGCGTGTCCGATGGTGGGAACCAGCGGAAGGCGGGCGGAAGATGGCGGACGTAAAAGGTGCGCCCCCCCAGAGATGGCATCATTTTTGGGCACAGGGTTTCAGAAAACGACTACGCAAGCCAGGCATCGTCATACGTAAGACTTGCGCACGCCTTTTGCCACATGATGATAGCATATCGATGCCGATACCTTTCCCTCGTTCTTGTCTTTTGCGGGCTTCGGGGAGGTCCTCGTTGCCATGGCTGGATTCGCCTCGGAATCGTAGTCAGAACGCACTTTGTGAGATGGCCCTTGGAGCAGCAGTATCGGTATGTGTGCCCCAGCAGTCGGAGCGCCGCGCGTCTCACCTCACCCCCTGCCCCCCCTACTCCTCCTCCTTCTCCTCCACCTCCTCCACCTCCTCCACCTCCTCGTCCTCTTCTTTATCTTCCTTATCCTCCTCCTCCTCCTCCTCCTCCTCCTCCTCCTCTTCCTGCCTCTCCCTGCCTCTGCGCTCCGTCAGCATGTCTATTTCGGCACGAGCCGCAAGTCTAGTTTGGCACCCCCCGCACGCGTGGTGCCCACTCTGGGAGCTCCGCCTACGGCCACAGTGGGCGGCACGCGTGCCGCAGCAGACTTACTTCGGCACACCCATCACACGCTCGGTGCCAACACAGGGAGCTCCACAGCCGGCCCAAGTGGGCGGCTTGCTTACATCCGCCTGCCCAGTTCGGCGCACCCAGCGTGTGACAGGCATTCCGCCACATGCTCATTCCGGCACACTCCTCGCATGCTTTGCGCAGCCAAAGGGAGTTGTTCATTCGGTCCCAGTGGGCGGCGCGCTTGCACTTACATGTCCAATGTTGTGCGCCGATCCAATGCTTCGTGCCCGTATGGGGAGCTCCGCCTACGGTCCCAGTAGGTGGCGCACATGTTGCCGCATGTCCGTGCCGGAACACTCCTCAAACGCTCCGTTCCTACACGGGTGTTCCACCTACGGTCCCACATGTGGGCGGGCGCGCATACCGCCGCATCTCCATGCTGGCACACCCATCACACGCTTCACGCCCCCATAGGGAGCTCCAGCAATGCCACAGCGGGTGGCGGGCATGCCGCCGCATCTTCGTTCCAGCACCCCCCTCACACGCCCTGTGCCCCCATGAGGGAGCGCCCACAGCTCAGCTCGCTTCTTCTTGGCTTAGTCCGCAGCCTCCTATCTAGGCTGTCCCGAATGCCACCCTTCCCGCGGCACGCGATGTAGCAGGAGAGGGCCACATCTTGCGCCACACGCAGCTGGAAAGGGTTGGGCCTTGGGCCCTTCGCTGAGCTGATTGTTCCCCCACTGGTATACCCCGTGTGGCAGACGCCCCATACTGACCAGTCGCATGTCGAAGAGGTGATCACACCGCACGGTGAGCTTTGAAGTCAACGTGCGTTTGTTTTGGCTCAGCGGCTGAAGCGCCCCAAAACACTTCCAATCCGCTCCACTCCATCGCTCGGAACGCTTCCACCTCCAATTGATAGCCACAACCTCCGCAGCCGATTATCACGATCGTCTCTTCATGCCCGGACCCTCAACGTGAACAGGCGATACAGTTGGGCTCATACGGGCATGTGGTATTTTGTCCCCGCGAAGGGGGGGCTAGGATGGGGCTAGGACGAGGATCATTCCGTGCCAGAGTGCTCCGGATCGCTCTCAGAGCGCTCCAGACCGCTCTGAGAAGGCCGCGGCGCCCGAGACATCCTCCAGAACCGCCAGATCTCAGGGCTTCTCAATTAGATTCTCCCCTGATGTATCCTCGTCTTGGCTTCGTTTGGGGGGCGGAGGGGGTCGACGAGGAGGGGTGAATCATACAGGCAGGGAAGGTTTTGCTGTGGCGGCCGGAGGTCGGGACGGGAGGTGGCCATACGGAACGAGGGATGGATGTGGGAGGGAGCACTGCTGAAGCCCAGACGATGTGCGGCGACACTGTCACGATAGCCTGTGCCCTCACGACACGAACCACCACGCGCTGTCAGACTCCACTCTGCCTCCTCCTATCTCCCTCCCTCCCTCTCCAGCCTCTCCTCAGCCTCCTGCACGCCTGTCCGCGCTCTCGCTCGAAGCTTCTTCGGCATTTACTCAGGCGCGGCGCTTCCGCCCCAAACCTCCCCACAATTTACCCATGAGTCGTGCTCTCACTCCGGCGCTGGCTACCCGTTCTCTCAGGCCAGGGTCGCCAGGACTCCTACCAGAGTACATTTCGATATCAGGAGTGAATGCGACAGTTAGTCGTGTTGCCCTGGTGCAGGCTTTTCCTGTCCTCTTCCTCCTAGTCCTCCTCCTCCTCCTCCTCCTCCTCCTCCTCCCTCTTTCGAGAATGTTTCAGGCAATCAAGCCAGACCACTTCAACTCGGAACATCGAATTGCGAGGATGTCTCAGGCGAAGCGGGCTGGAGCAGATTACGCACGGCATCTCGGAGCCTAGGACCTAGGATGGAGAGGATGTCTCAGGCGAAACGGGCTGAATAATTTCAGGTCAAAGTATCTCGGAGCCCAGAGTTGCGAAGAAGTCTCAGGTGAAACGGGCTGGACTGCATTGGATCTTTGAGAATGACTCTGCTTGCCCGTCCCTTGCCCAGAAAGGGTTCCCACTAGAAAGAAGCCCCGGGGGACGACTACAGTCCAGACGTTGAAATAAGCTCCACTCGCAGGCCTAGATGTTGACACCAGCACCAATATCGGCGGTGTGCCTCCACCGAAGGAAAAAGATCCCGATCTCGGTGATGGTGGTAACATTCTGGCTTCCAAGGTGACCGAAATCTTACCACCAAGACCGAAATCCAGGATCATCTTCCCCCCGTGGAGGCAAGCCCCTGCGTTGGTGTTGGTGCCCGTTTCCAGGCCTCCAGACCACCTCGGATTCGGGAGTGGCTCTTGTGCTCGGGCCGTTCCTCAGATGCAGGTCGGGGGACCCATGCGTGGGCGAGGCCCGCCGTGGCCAGAAGGCGCCTTCTCGTCTCTTCGTCTGGGTACACGTTGCGTCCCCTGGCCATCACGGGCGTGGCGGGGGGGAGGGGGAGGGCGCCGGCAACGTCACGAGTCGCGCCGAGTTGGTGTCTGGGAAGGCTCGGGAATGGCCAGTTCCCAAACAGCGCCGCCACGGATCCTCACACTACCAGGAGGGGGGATGGGGGCGAGGAGCGGGGCCAGTCACGGGCGTTATTCGGCGGCGAGCGATGGAGAAGGCCTTCTCAGAAGGCGGCGATAGTTCTGTGAGGGCCTCCGGCCTTCGGTTGTCGGTTTTCTGTGTCTTCGGGAAGGCTTGGAAGCCTTCTCAGAAGGCCAAAGGGTATCCCCGCCTTCCGCGAAGGCCCGCCCCCTCTGACTCCCCCGATGACTGCACGCACCAGGACCACTACCTCGTTGGCACCCTGGGGCGCGGTTTGCCGCCGAAGGGGCGCCCTCGAGCCCGCGGGCGAGGGGCAGGGCGCTACCGCGCCACCCTCATCCCCCCTGCTGGGAGCACGCCTTCCTCCAGCACGTGCAGTGAGCGGGCTCTGGCCCCACACTCCTTGCCCCTAGTCCGAGCACAACAAAGTATCGCAACCACAACTAAGTGGAATTGTTCGGGAAGGCCCCATCGGGGGAGAACCCACCGATCTCGGCAGGGGCACTCTGGCTGTGGTTGTGGTCGATTTGGCCGCCCTGGAACGCCAAAGCGAAAACAACCAGCACGAAGCTGGTTCCGGTGTTCCGGCATTTCTTGGCATGCGCAGGACAATCCCCAGGTTGTGCCGTCGATGTGGTTGTGGTCGCTCGCTGTTCCCGCATGAGCGGGCCCTTGGCCCATACTCGTTGGCTAGCGAGCTGGCGGATCCGGCGCGCTCCGCTCCGCCATCTGCATTCCCGCCCCGCCCAGCACGGCCCTGCCATGCTTAGGTCGGGCCTTGCCCTCTACAGGGAGAATATTCCAAAATAGTTTGAAAAATTGTCTGGTGATTACTATTTTAGCATATTTTTGGCCATTTGGGGGTAGTTTTGGACTATCTTTTATTTTCCGTCCAAAATTCCCCTGTAGGAGGACAGGCCCGAGTTAAATGCCAGGCTGCCCCTGCCCGCCCACCACTGACCCGCCGGCCTTCCTGCCTTCCTGCCTGCCTGCCTGCTCCTCGCCCTCGCCTTCCGATGATCCTCAAGTTGCGTGGTGGCCCGAGCGCGTGTCGTGGTTCCCATTGCATCGCCAATGCCGTGTTGAAGGGGCCTTCGGTGGGCGAGCACACGCTGGCACTAGAACGCGCTCGGAGGATCCTCCAACCTCCTCGCAGGATGGAGAGTGGTTTGTTTCAGACCGGGGGGTCCCCCCCGAGTTGCGGGCCCACGGGACGCCCTCTTCACGAAATGAGAGAGGGGTGCTTCGCGCTGTGCGGAAGAGAGTGCCGTGAGGAACGGACTCCAGGGAACGTTTTTTCCGTCGCGGCGCGGCAGAGGCAATCTGGCCGCGCGCTCTCGTAGCCCAGGGCGTGGCGTACGAATTGTCCGGCGGCACGAGGGGGGGAAGGGAGGCGGATGGCGGCCGTAGAAGGCGGGCGGGGGATGAGGCATTCAACGCACGAAGAGTTTCGGCAGGTGTGGCTGGGGCGTCCAGGACTCCAGGGAACAAACGATGGCATGAACCTACACTTTCGCAGGTCCGCGCGAGTTTCTCGGCTCAGCGCTGGACCCCCCTCGCGGAGCGCGCCAGGGGCGACGCCGGAGGCGCCGTCAGGGGGCTCCAGCGACGATCCAAGAAATCCGCGCGGACCTCTGCTGGGAGTTTACTTGTATGCCATTGCTTGTTCTGCGAGGACGTGGCTCAGAGGCCAACAAGATACGCATGCGTTTTTGAGTGCGGTCGCTCGTGCACGCGAGGCCGCGGAGCGCGGGAGGCGTGAGTGCACCATGCCTGAGTGTCTGTTCGCCCAGTGGCATTTGAGAGTGTATTCCAGCATCGTTGGCACACCTTGGGTTCACTCTGGTCCTCCTCCTCCTCCGCCTCCTCCTCCTCCTCCTCCTCCTCCTCCTCCTCCTCCTCCTCCTCCTCCCCCCTCCTCTTCCTCCTCCTTCTCATCCTCCTCCCTCTTCCTCCTCTTCCTCCTCCTTCTCATCCTCCTCCCTCTTCCTCCTCTTCAGTTCGAAGATCGCCCCCCAGACTTTTCCGATCCTGCGCTCTTGCCACGACTCCGAGGGGACCCCAGCCATGGCGACGGGACTCCTGCCCAGCGGCCCAGAAGGGGGCGAAAAACGCGCCGACACGCTTCTACTCTCGATCCTCAAACCCTCGATCCTCGATCCACGGTCCTCCTCGATTCTCCTCTTCCTCCTCCTCCACCGCTCTCGATCCTGGCCTCTTCGGGGGGGGCCCTCGTCGCCACTGCCCTCGACCCCTCTCCAAACCCTCGATCCTCGATCCACGATGCTCTTCAATCCTCCCCGACACACCTCCTCTTCCTACTCTTCCTCCTCCTCCTCCTCCTCGGTTACCCTCGTCGATCCTCATCGATTCTCGGTGCCCCTCGATCCTCTGTCCTCCCAGATCCACTTTCCCCTCTGCGATCCTCGGTCTCTCCGATCCTCCTCCTGCTCGTCCTCCTCCTCTTCCTCCTTCTCCACCTCCTCCTCCTCCTCCTCCTCCTCCTCCTCCTCCGCGATCCTCCTCCTCGATCCTTCTCCGCCTCATCCTTCTCCTCCTCCCCCTCCTCCTGCTCCTCCTCCTTCTCCTCCTCATTCTAACTCTCCTCCCCCTCCTCCTCCTCCTCCTCCCCCTCCTCCTTCTTCTTCTTCTCCTCCTCCTCCTCCTCCTCCTCCTCCTCCTCCTCCTCCTCCTCCTCCTCCTCCTTCTCCTCCTCCTCCCGCCGCGCGCCCACCCCACGCCGCCCCGAGCGCTACCGAGCCCGCCCGGTGCCCATGCCCGCGCGGGCCCGCGACAGAAATGGACTTGCCGGGCGGCGCGGGCGGGGCCCCGGCCACCGCTGACAGGCGGCAGCAGCAGGCGCCTCCTCCTTCTCCTCCTCCTCCTCCTGGAGGCTGTTCTTGTTATCTTCTGGCGTGTAACGATCGTTGCCCCGACGAAACCCCTTCCCCTCCCCCCCTGGGTAAGGGAAACGATGCAATCGTACGCAGTGGGAGAGGCTGACCCCCCCCCAAAAGAAAATGCCAAATGCTGGTGCTCGCGCGCATGCGATGGCGATCGCAGCGCACCCCGAGACCGATGTGCCCCACCCCGCCCAGGCGTTACAGTTACCTGGGGCCCCAAACCCATCTCCCCAGAGAGATGATATGTCCTCGATCCTCGTTCTTCGCTCCGCCTCCTCCTCCTTTCAGGAGCCCCTCACGTCGTGAAGAGATCACGGCGGGGAGTCTCTTTTGTCAGGCTCGGCTTCAGGGTGCCCTGGCCAGGCCCCAGGACCGTCAAACAATTAATTACCCAGGATGAACACCTGGTCCCAGGGAATGGGTCGAGACCTCTGGGGGTCGACGATTGTTTTGTGTGAGTGTGTGTTTGTGGGTGTTTTTGCACGCCAGAAGAACTCAACATGACATCGGGGGTCAGAGTTATCGTGCTCCTCCTTGCTCCTTCTCCTCTTCGTCATTTCCATACCTAGATATCCGACGATGTATTTTTCAATCCTGACGGTTTCTCCTCAATTTCGGCCTTGGAGTGCCGTTGTCGGGTCCAGGGACCGTCAAAATGGATCCGGGACGGATTATCATCCCCAGGGAAGCGGTCGGGACCTCTTCAGGCCGCGGATTGACAGAATCAGATCGGAGAATGTCGGGCCTTCATCCTCCTCATCCTCCTCCTCATCGTTCCTGCTCCTTCCCGTCCCGTGGGCGGATGGAAGCAGCCGCAGCAGCCACTGGCAGCCACCCCTTATGCAGACGCCCGGCTCATCTCTGATCGTGCCAGGGCCCATCGCCATCCGATTTTGGCCGGATGCGGCCGGTTGTTTGCATGGGGCCGTTGTGCATGCCGGCGCGGCCGATGCGATTCCATTTCGATTGTGCCCGGCGCGGCCGATGCGACTCTCACGCGTTTGGCGTGACTACGCGTTTTTAAACACACTTTTACACACCCCCTGTAAACGTTCAGATAGCCGCCTCAACTGCAAATTAGGAGGAGGAGTAGCGCAGTCTCTCTCGTGCTTGTCCCTCCTCTCCTGGCGCAAAGTTTCGGCTCGAGGCGTGGGTTTCGCGGGCGAGGCCCGCACTCGAGCCTTCAGAGAGGGGTAGCTTCCAGCCCCAGCTCGCCCCGAGCCCGCCAGGCTCGGGGGCCGCCACGACGCCGGCCATCGGGCGCCCCGGCTGGCTGCTGGTGACCGCGCTCGCCCTCTGCGAGCTGGACGGGCTGCTGGAGGTCTTCGGCGGGCGCCAGCAGGAGGCCGAGGAGATCCTCATCGAGCCCCTCGACCTCGGAGGAGGCGCCGAGTGGCGGGGGTCACCAGCGGGTTTCATGGCGCCGTGGAGCAGGTGGAACCGCGTCTACGTCCAGACGCAGGGGAGGAACACGGGGGTGGTGATGCTGCTGGTCAGTCGGGTCGGTCCAGGGACCTCGTTGGTTTGGACCGCGATCGACCCCGCGAAGCGGGTGCAGATCATCAACCTGCGGGACAAGGCGAGGATGCTGCCGCGCCCGAAGAAGGGAGTGACCTGGACCGAGCACCCAGGCCTGAATGAGAAGGAGAGGGAGCAGGCGATCATCGCCGCGGAGCGGCTCATTGTGCGACATGAGCTGGGACAGGCTGGTGCTGAGAGTGCCAAGGCCAACCTGACGAAGGGCAAGAAGGCGAGCTCGAAGGCCAAGGTGGCGTCCTGGTTCGGCAAGGGCCTCGTGACCACCGTGGTGACGGCGTGGGCCCACAAGACGTGGGGTGGTGCTGCAGCGGTGTTCTTTGTGGGCTGGAGGTTGTGGCGTTGGCTGCATCTCGGGTCTTTCTTCGCCGCAGGGTACCACACCGTCTCGGCGGGGATGCAGGCGATCGAGGACCTGGACAACTTCCGCGAGTTCCTGGGGGAGCTGTACGAATCGGGCGACCTCGAGCTGTGCGCGGCATACCTGGGCTGCGTTCTCATCGTGATCTACGGGATCTGGACATACGGATGCTCGTGCCGAAAGGAGGTCGACTCGGACAGCGACTCGGGCTCGGACTCGGACGGCGGGTCGGTGCACGCTGGCGATGACGTGAGTGACGTGAGTGGCGACGAGCGGGACACCAAGACCCTGTTCGCGGAGTTGGCTCGCGGTCAGTCTGACTTGGCCGACGCTGTGGGCATGCTGAAGTCGAGGCTGGATGTCGGGGGCGGAGCGGGAGCAGGACCTGCCTGCGGCAGTGGGGCTCTGGCGTCGGAGCCAGGCCCGTCTCCCCCGCCCCCCGCGGGGCCGCCGCCGACCAGAGGAGACGACCCCAGCTCGGCCGAGGTGGATGCGTTCATCAAGAAGCTGACGGAGCACGAGGAGCTGGTGCAGCGGGACTCGGGCTTGAGCACCCGAGCGCAGGCAGGGTCGCCCACGCCGAGCTCGAGTGCAGCGTCATGGGAGAAGGTTGGAGACCTGGGCGAGCTCGAGGACCCCCTGAAGGACCAGATCGTGCAGCTGAAGGAGGAGTCGAAGAACCCAAAGGAGAGCTTGCTGGCGACTTTGGAGAAGTATCGCCGCGTGGCGGGCTCCCCCGTGGGGGGGATCAGGGCCCGCGTGGCGCCGACAGTGCTGGCGAGGCTCTACGAGGGCGGACGGAGCGCACGCGTGGAGACGCAGGAGTGGCTCCGCTCCAAGGAGCTGCAGGGCGCGGGCATCGCGCAGGAGCTGAACATGCTGGCCCTGGTCCTTGACAGGATGATGAGCCAGGGGCAGTACGACGAGCTGATCAACTCGCAGGCCGCGGAGGTGACCTGCCTGCGCCTGTACTCGATCTGGAAGGCCTACGAGCGGGTGCAGTGCAAGAGCGACTGGCTGAGGCCCAAGGCGCAGCACGGCGGCAAGTGGCGCTCCAAGGTCGACTGGAGTCTGGCGGAGGAGTACCTGCGCCTCGACGGGGACCCCAACAGCGAGAACAGGGGGGCCGATGACGAGGTCTGGAGAAGCTCAGGCGGCGGGCGATCCTCAGCAAGCACCTGGGTGAGGTGCGCTCGGGGCAGCCTGCCGGCGAGGACGAATAGGTTGCGGCCGGAGCTATCGTGGTGTGCTCTGGCCAAGGCCTGAGGGGTCAATCCCCTCTACCACGGCCGCGGCGGCGAGCCGCTTTCGTGCCGAGCTTCTTGCTGGACACGTCTTTCGGGTGGTGGTGCTACATCGGGCTGGTGAGCTTCCTGACGATCGGCTGTGGGGTCTTCCACGGCGGCGTCGGAGCGTCGAGGCCTTTCTTGTACTTGGGGCCTCGCGCCGTTCTGTGGCGAGCAGGTTTTCCCGTACGTCGGAGCGCAGGTCGCTCGGTGGTCCCAGATGCCTACTGGGGAGAAGGATTTGAGAGAGAGGGATCCCTTGAGGAGTCTGCCTGGGCTCCCATTCCCACTACAGTCGAGGAGGTCGAGTTCGAGCCTGTCCGAGAAGGAGCTGAGGACAACCTGGCAGCGGACTTCGAGGACGATAGCGGCGATCAGGAGTATGGCGACGGGCTGTTCGAATGGTTGGATACATCCATCGACCCTGACGGACAAGCAGACGTGCCAGACGGACTGGAGTGCGAGTACGCCGCTACAGAAAAGACTGGTGACGGAAGCCTGGGACCTTCACGCCGCGAGGGCGAAGTGGGGGACCATCAACGACGGCAGGGCGGCATTGAGCCGCTTGGCAGGAGGAAGCCCGACGGAGTATTTTGCGAAGGGAGCGAGGCCTACGACGTCTACGGCATCGAAGGCTTCACCGCAGTTGAGGAAGGGCGACCTGTGCCCTCTGAGGGCGGAGCAGGTGTCTCTCCCAGCGCCGGGGACCCAGAGTTTGGAGGTGGCGGCGATCTCGAGTCTCGCTGGGCGGTACCTCACAGAGGCCGGCCAGCTGATGATCAAGGGCTCGGGGGAAGTCGACTGGGAGAAGTACGAGGCGACAAAGAGCTACTCGGACCCGGCGTGGCGGAGCAAGAAGGAGCGCTTGGCACTTGCCCTGCGGATGGCGCAGGCTGGAATGATAACATATGCGACGAAGGTACGCGAACATGTCGGGCTGTTCACGGTGGCGAAGGACTTCGACCCCAAGACTGGTGGCATTGTGAAGTCGCGGCTGATCTGGGACTGCCGAAGAGTCAACCTGCTCTTCGTGGATCCCCCGTGGGTGCCTTTGGGCAGCCCCGCGGGCCTCGCGCTCCTAGAGCTGGACGAGGCGGTGCTGCGTGGACGGCGGCTCTTCTCCTTCCAGGGCGACGTACCGGACTGGTTCTATCGGTTGCACTGGGGTTCGTTTTTGGCGGAGTATTTTGTGGTGGAGGATGTCTCGCCGCAGGAGCTGTACCAGTACGGGATGGAGCAGGGTGTGGCTTTGCCGAAGCCGCGCGAGGAGGACGTTGGTATTGGGGCTTCGAGTTTGGTCATGGGCTCAGCGTGGGCGGTGTTCTTGGCCCACAGCTGCCTGGAGGCAAGCTTCGAGTCCCTGAAGGCCCCCAGCTTGACTTACGGCAAGCCCACCCCGTCGTTTGGCCTATCGGAGGAGGAGGCGATCAGGTTCCTGCTGATGTTGTACATCGACGACTACATCGGCTTCACCCTCGAGGGCGAGGACGGCGAGCAGAAGATCCTGGAGGACAAGGAGATGATCAAGGAGCTTCTGAACGGCAAGGGGCTCGCAGTGCACAAGGAGGCCTGGGGCGAAGGGATGGAGAACGGCCTGGGCCTGTGCATCGCCGCCACGAGGCCCTACACGCTGAGGGTCCAGCCGAAGAAGATGGAGCAGGTCGTGCTGGCTACCGAGGCGGCGGTGTTGGAAGTGGCTCTCAGACCGTCGACGGTGGCTTCTCTGGTCGGGCACTGGACCTGGACCATGATGGTCTTCCGCCCCTCGTTTGC